TACTAGACCGCCTCCGTGGTCTAGTGGTAGAGCGTCCGCCCGGAGAGCGGAAGGTTTGGGGTTCGATCCCCGGCCGCGTCATACCAAAAGACGTTAAAAGATGGTACTTGTTGTTACCCTGTCTGGCGCTCGGCACTAAGGGGCTAAAACAAGGACTGGTCGGCTCGGAGTCAGTATACTGTGTCTGAGTGGGGTATTCATGTTAAACTGTATTCAGTCCATTATCTGGTATTAGCTCTACCATTCCCTCGCAGACTGATAGGACCATCTGTGGTAACATACACATAGGCGGTGGGGTAGCCTAGCAGTTAAAGCGGTCGCCCGTCACGCCGTAGTCCTAGGTTCGATTCCGCCCGATCCCGTTAGTCGGCTCTTACGACCAGTATAGTCGCCTTTAAGAAACATACACAATTCTAATAAAAAAACATATTATTTTTTGAACGCATAAATATAACATATACGGTGAAACAAAACAGATTGAATTTGTATCACGACATTTGATTTCACAAGGAGATGTGTATTCAGAACATATAAAAGACATTGATGCCATGACGTCGTACACTCAGTGCACATACTCCACTCTCTTCAGGCTTGGGAAACATGTATATCCAGATTGTAAGTATACGTCGATAAAACGGAACTCCCACTGTTAAGGAACTGATCCCGTTTGCGAAAATGGCATCATAAATATTTACATACCTTTGATACGCACGCCACTCCACAGCCATCTATCACACTTGTGGTATTCAGTCCGATAAATCATTATGCTGTTTTCACAAACCTCCCTCAAAACAGATGGCTTGTTTTATATTCTCGGGTCGGTTAGAGTTCCACCACTTAAGGCTGAGCTATGACCCCAAAAGATTAATCTGCGAAATGAGATAAAATAGGTTTTTAAACTAATGGAAATCATTAGAGATATATTTGTTCTATACTATTTGACCCGTGAAGATCCGGGGTAGTATAGGTCTTCAGCAACCCATGCTTGCCGTAAAAGGCAACTTTGCTTGTAAGAGGCGACCAACGTGGTCAGGCTCGCTGACTTGGTTGATCCATGTCATCGTATCCCAATTGCGTGGATCGATGCTCATAATGTCAATCACTGGATTGTCTGGTCCAGACTCGATTATTTACAGACCGCCGTGATATAGCTGGAATATTGCTGCGGCGTTAAACAAAAAACCAACAAACAAAATCTATACTATTTCATATCGATATCGTGTATGATTACATACTTAACAAACTCTGCGTTGGGACGGGTCGGGCCGACTTACCTGGTGGCTAAAGCGTTCGATGTTCACGACGAAGGCTAGGGTTCGATTCCCTACATGGGTGCAAGGAGTGAAGCCGTGTTTGCTGGAATAGTGCTAAAAGCGGCGTAAAATTATACTCACTCATCATATAAGTACATAACCTTTCTAAACACACAATATAATATGTTTATATCTAACACAATTACAATGTTAAAACATTGAATGGGTGGATAAAGAATGGAGTTTTACCCTTAAAAATCCTTTTCAAAATGAGGATAGGATCTTAATGTCTGTCTACATCAAAACGTGACATTGACTCCTGGATTTCCACGATTGGCAGATGGAACAACTCTCGGGTAAAAAATCAACCCTGTGAGCCGAGGATGGAGAAAGCGTTCATCGACAACGCACAACGCCTGAGGGTATTTTTATACAGAAAGCAGCCATCGTTCTAATAAATGCGGAGAAGGGGGAACACAATTTAACACACCCCATGTGTCGTTAAAAAAAGCCATGCAGATTCTAACTCTTCCCGAATGCTTTATCGGGCAGCCAAGTCACTGTGAATGAATCAGACTCGACCACACCACGTATTAGCTGTCGATTCTCTTTCAAAACATGTTTAATCGCCCTGCAAGGCAAGAAGTCACCGACGTATGTGGGTTAAATATACAGGTTAAACTGAATGCACTGCGCTGTTTAAGATTTGAACAGCTCTATGCTAACTTCTATGTCTACATCGCTGCCACGCCCAAAGACGTTTCTCGTACAATGCCGGCCTCCATCGCCAAGCTTCATTGAGCTCAGTCAGTGGAGCGAGTTAAACATGGACATGCTCTACATAGCACGGCTACACGTTTGTCGTATATAACACATTTGTCCCCAGGGTGGTGCCAGCGCCCCGGGGGCACGGCTATTATCTACCGTATTGTATTGTTAGGTTATCCTGGAGTGCACGTTCTTCAACACAACGCAGGGTCGACTACGACGGTACTTGGTTACGTCAGAGCTGTTTTGTTTGTAAATGTCCCCCCTTCGTTTTAAGGTGGAGCTGTTTTGTTTGTAAATTTCCCCCCTTCGTTTTAAGGTGGAGCTGTTTCGTTTGATAATGCGCCCCTTCGTTTTAAGGTGGAGCTGGTTCGTTTGTAAATGCGCCTCTTCGTTTTAAAGTGGAGCTGGTTCGTTTGTAAATGCACCCCTTCGTTTTAAGGTGGAGCTGTTTCGTTTGTAAATGCGCCCCTTCGTTTTAAGGTGGAGCTGTTTCGTTTGTAAATGTCCCCCTTCGTTTTAAGGTGGAGCTGTTTCGTTTGTAAATGTCCCCCTTCGTTTTAAGGTGGAGCTGTTTCGTTTGTAAATGCACCCCTTCGTTTTAAGGTGGAGCTTGTTCGTTTGTAAATGCACCCCTTCGTTTTAAGGTGGAGCTTGTTCGTTTGTAAATGCACCCCTTCGTTTTAAGGTGGAGCTGGTTCGTTTGAACTTAACATGTTCTGTTAACGATGTGTTTTCAAAATACATATGATTGATCGGGACATAAATTCAACACATGCAGAACCTTGTGACAGGTAAAGCTGCCTTAATGGTTGATTGGTAGTCAACGTCGTATCAAAGAATGAACAAAGTCTACGTGGCAGTTACTGCCGTTTATTAGATCAAGATGTGAAATTGATTTAACGTGTGTTATATCGCGATTCCAACATACCATCAAAAAAACGCCGTACAAAAAAATACGATTATCGTTGAAATCTTAAAGAAGATACTGCTTCATGTTTACGATAAAAGTGCACGTATTGCCTTCAGGTGGGTTGTTGACGTCACTTTTAACCCTTTGACCTATTTATGAGCAAAGATTAAACAAAGCTTCAGGAGTAATAACGTTTCTTGATTTCATCGCCAGTTGTCCACGCATTTTATAGTAGATACAAAGCAAACAAGAAGTTAGGCTAGCTGAGGGGAGAGACGGACACGCATAACCGGGAAGGCAACTGATGACCAAACATGGACGTGCTTTAGGAGCAGGAGCTGTTTGATCTGCAAGCATTATATGGTTATTAAAGCTAGACCGTATTGTATGGGAGATAGTAGTGTTGACACAGAGTATTAGGCGGTACATCTCCCGGACATAACGTGGGGCGAGGGGGCAGAGGGGTGGGGCAAAAAGGGGGATGCAGTGGGGTGGGGAGGAGGAGAGAACTCCTGTATATCTCTTCAGCGAATGTGTCGATGCCTTGACTGATATAGTAAAACCCTATTAATACGGACACCGCTTTATCCAGATGCATCTTCCACGTTAACGTGTTCCTGGATTAAAATAAAACACATTTGATACGGAGTAATATCATTTGAATGTACGTTAGCGTTCTCAACGTGGAGCATTGCCCGGTATGGGAGGTGTCCTTATTAACGAGGTCCAGATTAACGAGGTCTTGATTAACGAGGTTTCACTGTATAAGTATTCAGATGCAACAACGTGTATTCAAGTGATATATGTAAAACAGAAACTATGAATATATATTAACATAACAATGCCATAAATTATGTAGATACATATGATGTCTATAATTTAGAATTGCTATTTCAAATGATACTGCGGCTGAGGAAATTGAATTTATAATTATAAACGTTGTATGGTCTTCAAATGGATGTCAGCGCGTGTAATTTACCTATTCACATAAGCTGGGGTTAATTTAAATTGAAAGAACTAACTTTGATTATACCGCGATTGTGTGATCGGCTCAGACCATAGCAACACGTTACGGGGCCCTCCCATTTGTCAGACACCCGGTAGTCACACACCCAGTTGTCAGACACCCAGTTGTCACACACCCAGTTGTCAGACACCCAGTTGTCAGACACCCGGTAGTCAGACACCCAGTTGTCACACACCCAGTTGTCAGACACCCAGTTGTCACACACCCAGTTGTCGCACACCCAGTTGTCGCACACCCAGTTGTCAGACAGTGGAATATTTTTTAACTGCCACACACCCCTTTACTCATAATGATATGACCCAGACACTGGCAATATCCGAAGTTTTAAACGGCTTAGTTAAACTGTAAATATGTTTGTTTTCACTGAAGTTTGTGATATGGTGCTTAGAATTTGTTAAGTTAAATGACTGACAGTACTTTGACATTGATGTGGAAGTAAATATTACTATATTCATAATGATTTATGGCCACTATATAGTATGTATATGTTATGTATTATACTTCATGTATATAAAGTAAAACTCCTTTCACTCAGCAATATATTCCAAAGTATAAAGCAATAATAAATCAAGAATAAACACTGATTTATATAAATTTTGTTTTCTTTTGTACCAGTTGTCAGACAGTTGTTGACGACAGGAATAGTCTATTCGGATTTGAGGGAATATATCACACACCTGATGTGCCCTCAACCATAATTTAAAATTTAAAAAATTGTTGTTTTAAGCTGTCTGACAAATGGGAGATGACCCGCGGTACAAAACACCAAATAAGATATATTTTGACATATTTTTATTGGTTCTAGTTCAGATATGTTGTAAGTCAAATACAACATATTGCCGTTCCAACTAGGTGTAGTCAAACCTTACTCTTACCAACGTATTTCTCTTCATTGAAATATACTCATTGCTGCCTTAACATAGGTTTAGGTATGCGCAATACGTTCATCATACTGGCCATGACACAACTATAACAAACCTAAACATAGAACCTTTCATGCAAAACATAATGTGAGTGGTTAATTATAAAGCCTTTACAAATACATTTACGTGTATTCAGTACGTGCAGAGTCTTGCACGCTGCAGTCGATTTGAATCGCCGGTTGTATCGACTGGAAACCAACACTCCAGTCTCCGTCAGCTGTCACTGTCGACACTTGTGTTCAGCGTTGTAGTAGATGACCACGTCGAAAATCAGCCACCCGGGAGGGAGGGAGGATGCATGTTTGGGACAGGTCGACCCAGGCAGCTCGCTTACTTACTGAGGTGTAGATTTGCACCTTGAGTAGCGCCTGAACCGGTTTTAGAGCTGGAGGAAATTTAGAACGGATTATATTTTGTCAGTGAAGCGTGAGGGCCGGCCCAGAACCACTGTGTAAGGCTGCGGGTTAGACATGAAGACAGGAGTACCCAGTGCCACAAAACATGTGACATAGGATCTATTTCGCTTCCTTGTGTGGATATATGTACCTGGCGGGTAGATGGACTGACTGTTCGGCGTTCATGTGATTTCTACCTGTTGTATTGTGACACAGGTGAGTGAAATGATTTGATTACAGGTGTAAACTTCCGAACTGAACAGGTTAATCACTGCGTGGTCAGGTGTAGACTGAGAAGGGGGTAGGATAGAGATGTAGTGGTATATATGTACCACGTAGAACGCTATGGAGACATATACTCAACTTACGTTATACAATGTCTTCCTACTTTAACTGTGTTGTGTGTTTTTAAAGGGTTTCCATCTGTTTGTGTATGTTTATTATTTTGCTTTTTTCAAATATAATAACATAAACTGACAAAGACTTTGACGTTAAAATATATCATCGTCGGAGCGTTACTAAAACAAAGGGTGTCATTTCAGGCAAGTAATTCATAAAACATGCACCAGACGTCTGTCCGTCTTGGCTTAAACGTTCTAAGGCAGTGTTCAATCGACCATGGCGAGGCATTCAAGTTCAATCTGTTTTATACAGGGAAACCATGTAATTTTGTGCCATTGTTCTATGTCAGCCCCGGAGAGTTTTATACGTTTCATACCCTTTATACCCAAACCTGTACATTGAGTCCGTCCACGGCCCCGGGGGACAATACAGGCGGGCACTGGAGGGTGGTGACATGGAACACACCTATTGAAGGTTGACGCTGGAATCTCACGCATTTGCCTCTCTCGACAATTTGTTTATCAATGTACATTTAGTCACTTCGAGAGAGGCATGTCGGGTTTCACTTGCTCCCAAAGCAGTATAGTTACACATAGGAAATGATTGTAAAAGATAGGACAATCTTTGTGACATGTACGGTATATTTCCCGAAACCGCAGATTTTTACTTTCACTGTGTAAGGTAGACACTTCTTCATGTTGACAGTTTTACTGTTACATTCGTCACGTGACGTGTATTTGACATCTTCCTTCCAGAAAATGTCGTTTCATGTCAGACGTCAGAATCAGATGTCGCTGTTCACTGCCTTACTTCCTCTCCGAGTATTCACTGTGTTTTAATGTCTTGATACACGTGTCGACAGTTTTACTCCCCACCGAATAGGCACACAGTGGATAGGTTTATTATTTCATACACTAGAAAGGTGTATTAATGCATACACTCGACCGGTGTATTGGTTCATACACTAGACAGGTGTATTAGTACATACCTGTCAGAGGTGTATTAGTTCATACACTAGACAGGTGTATTACTTCATACACTAGACAGGTGTCTTAGTTCATACACTAGTAGTTCATACACTGGACAGGTGTATTAGGTCATACCTGGTAGAGGCGTATTACTTCATACACTAGACAGGTGTATTAGTTCATACACTAGACAGGTGTTTTACTTCATACACTAGACAGGTGTATAAGTTCATACACTAGTAGTTCATACACTGGACAGGTGTATTAGGTCATACCTGGTAGAGGCGTATTACTTCATACACTAGACAGGTGTATTAGTTCATACACTAGACAGGTGTTTTACTTCATACACTAGACAGGTGTATAAGTTCATACACTAGTAGTTCATACACTGGACAGGTGTATTAGTTCATACCTGGTAGAGGTGTATTACTTCATACACAAGACAGGTGTATTAGTTCATACACTAGACAGGTGTATTAGTTCATACCTGGTAGAGGTGTATAAGTTCATACCTGGTAGAGGTGTATTACTTCATACACTAGACAGGTGTATTAGTTCATACCTGGTAGAGGTGTATAAGTTCATACCTGGTAGAGGTGTATTACTTCATACACTAGACAGGTGTATTAGTTCATACACTAGACAGGTGTTTTAGTTCATACACTAGACAGGTGTATTAGTTCAAACACTAGACAGGTGTATTAGTTCATACACTAAACAGGTGTATTAATTCACACACTAGACAGGTGTATTAATTCATACACTAGACAGGTGTATAAATGCATACACTAGACAGGTGTATTAGTTCATACACTAGACAGGTGTATTACTTCATACACTAGACAGGTGTATTAATTCATACACTAGACAGGTGTATCAATGCATACACTAGACAGGTGTATTAGTTCATACACTGGGCAGGTGTAATAGTTCATACCTGGTTGAGGTGTATTACTTCATACACTTGACATGTGTATTAGTTCATACACTTGACAGGTGTGTTATTTCATACCGGGTAGAGGCGTATTACTTCATACCTTGAACAGGTATGTACGTTCCTATCTGGTAGGGGCGTATTCCTTCATACCTTGAACAGGTATGTACGTTCCTATATGTTAGGGGCGTATTACTTCATGCCCTGAACAGGTGTGTACGTTCCTATCTGGTAGGGGCGTATTACTTCATACCTTGGACAGGTGTGTAAAGTTCTACCTGGTAGAGGCATATTACTTCATACCTTAGACGGGTGTGTTAGTTCATATCTGGTGGGGGCGTATCACTTCATACCTTGAACAGGTGTGTACGTTCCTATATGTTAGGGGCGTATTACTTCATACCTTGAACAGGTGTGTACGTTCCTATCTGGTATTGGCGTATTACTTCATACCTTGGAAAGGTGTGTAAAGTTCTACCTGGTAGAGGCATATTACTTCATACCTTGGACAGGTGTATTACTTCATACACTAGACAGGTGTATTAGTTGATACACTAGACAGGTGTATAAGTTCATACACTAGTAGTTCATACACTGGACAGGTGTATTAGTTCATACCTGGTAGAGGTGTATTACTTCATACACAAGACAGGTGTATTAGTTCATACACAAGACAGGTGTATTAGTTCATACCTGGTACAGGTGTATAAGTTCATACACTAGACAGGTGTAATAGTTCATACCTGGTAGAGGTGTATAAGTTCATACCTGGTACAGGTGTATTACTTCATACACTAGACAGGTGTATTAGTTCATACACAAGACAGGTGTATTAGTTCATACCTGGTACAGGTGTATAAGTTCATACCTGGTACAGGTGTATTACTTCATACACTAGACAGGTGTATTAGTTCATACACTAGACAGGTGTTTTTGTTCATACACTAAAAGGTGTATTAGTTCATACACTAGACAGGTCAATTACTTCATACACTAGACAGGTGTATTAGTTCATACACTAGACAGGTCAATTAGTTCATACACTAGACAGGTGTATTTGTTCATACACTTGTAGTTCAAACACTGGGCAGGTGTAATAGTTCATATCTGGTAGAGGTGTATTACTTCATACACTAGACAGGTGTATTACTTCATACACTAGACAGGTGTATTACTTCATACACTAGACAGGTGTATTACTTCATACACTAGACAGGTCAATTAGTTCATACACTAGACAGGTGTATTAGTTCATACACTAGAAGTTCATACACTGGACAGGTGTAATAGTTCATATCTGGTAGAGGTGTATTACTTCATACACTAGACAGGTGTATTACCTCATACACTAGACAGGTGTATTACTTCATACACTAGACAGGTGTATTAGTTCATACACTTGTAGTTCATACACTGGGCAGGTGTAATAGTTCATATCTGGTAGAGGTGTATTACTTCATACACTTGACAGGTGTATTACTTCATACACTAGACAGGTGTATTACTTCATACACTAGACAGGTGTATTACTTCATACACTAGACAGGTGTATTACTTCATACACTAGACAGGTGTAATAGCTCATACACTAGACATGTCAATTAGTTCATACGCTAGACAGGTGTATTTGTTCATACACTTGTAGTTCATACACTGGGCAGGTGTAATAGTTCATATCTGGTAGAGGTGTATTACTTCATACACAAGACAGGTGTATTAGTTCATACACTAGACAGGTGTGTTATTTCATACCTGGTAGAGGCGTATTACTTCATACCTTGGGCAGATGTGTAAGTTCATACCTGGTAGAGGCGTATTACTTCATACCTTGAACTGGGGTGTAAGTTCATAACTGGTAGAGGCATATTACTTCATACCTTGGACAGGTGTGTAAATTCATATCTTGTAGAGGCGTATTACTTCATACCTTGGACAGGTGTGTAAGTTCATATCTTGTAGAGGCGTATTACTTCATACCTTGGACAGGTGTGTAAGTTCATATCTTGTAGAGGCGTATTACTTCATACCTTGGACAGGGGTGTAAGTTCATAACTGGTAGAGGCGTATTACTTCATACCTTGGACAGGTGTGTAAGTTCATATCTTGTAGAGGCGTATTACTTCATACCTTGGACAGGGGTGTAAGTTCATAACTGGTAGAGGCGTATTACTTCATACCTTGGACAGGTGTGTAAGTTCATATCTTGTAGAGGCGTATTACTTCATACCTTGGACAGGTGTGTAAGTACATACTTGGTAAAGGTGTATTACTACTTCATACACTGGACAGGTGTTTTAGTTCATACACCCAACAAGTATATTAGTTCATCTCTGGTAGAAGTGTACTACTTCATAAACAGGAGAGGTTTATTGCGTCATAACAAGGGCAGGTATTTTATTTCATACTCAGAACAGATATCGAGATATGATTTCAAACTTTGGGCAAGTTACCTCACACACACATATATATATGTTAAACGTTACACAGGTTTATTTACGTCTACTTAGGAATGTACATGTACTTAATGGTACATTAACTCAGACAGAGGACATATATATCTTATTTCATACCTAACATGACGGAATGTATGCTACTTAACATAAAAGGTACATATATATATTACTTCATACATACTATAATACTTCATACATATAATATCATAGGGTAAAGTATCGGCCCACATCTTGTCGTAAGTGTCTCACCCATATACAATACCTCACACACAACATGTGCACCTCAGCCCAAGCCGGTGCATCTCACACCCAGCAATTGTATCACATGCCCAGCATGTGCATCTCATACCTAACATGTGCATCTCAGCCCAAGCATGTGCATCTCACACCCAGCAATTGTATCACATGCCCAGCATGTGTATCTCAGCCCAAGCATGTGTATCTCACACCCAGCATGTGCACCTCAGCCCAAGTATGTGCATATCACAGCCAGCATGTGTATCTCACACCCAGCAT